CTTTCGTGGCCGTCGAGGATCCAAATAACCGGTATATACCTTTGTCCGGGGCGCCGTATGGTAGTCGAAGTGCTTGATCCACTCAAGGCCCAACTGCATTGGTAGTCCAGCCATTGTCGGTAGTTGCGATGCGCCAGTCGAGTGGTAGATTGCACTCGCGGTACCCAGTTGGCGAGGTGGTATTGCGCGGCCAGGATGATGAATGGAGGGATGGCCCAGCCCAAGGGGCGTTAACTCCCTGGATTACAGTCGCCCACTCGCGGTTACCAGGCTGGGCTAGTTTAGCCTTGCTACGGCCGTCTGAGGTCGTAACTACCATACCCGCGAAGATGATGCCCATCATAAACCCAGTCTCGTCGAAGTTATAGACATCGTCATCAACAATCCCATATTTGGCCCTAGTGTTCTGTACAAGCGTAAACCACTCGCCAATGATCTTTGGATCTTCGCACTTGGCCCTCTGGTAGTCGTATCGACGCGTACGACGCGTACGGAGCTGTGGCTGGCGTTTAACAAAGTTGTGGGCCCAGAGCTTGCCGACAGGGGGAGCATCGCGTTCGCGGAGCAGGTGGTTGGCCATATCTTCCACACCACGCAGCCTAGGGGGAAATGCACGCGCATCCAGTTCCCAATATATATTGAACTATCGTACGCTCTTCCAGGTCCGTAAGCTTACGCGAGTTGGCTGGTAAATCGCGTCGTGCAGACCGGCCAGTACGTCGGTGGCGAATCGTTGCTTCCGGAACGTTGTACAGTCTGGCTGCGGCCCGGATACTGAGATTTTTGTTCTTTCCGATGGCTTCAATGGCCATGTGAAGCCTGGCTTCTTTTGGGGGGCTACGCATGGCTGGTTGTGGTGGGATGTGGTGGAACAGGTAGAGGAGACGCGTCGCGGGGAACAGTGCGTCGCTCGCTTATATGCGTCGCTCGCTTATAATATACGTTACATAAAATTGGTATTATGACTTTTTATATACTTTACTAACTTACCACTAATACTATATATTTCTATTTCTAGTCCCTATTTTAATAACTTAAAACTATGGTAGATTCTATAGCTAGAAGAAGAGATCTAGGATAAAGTTATAACCTAACAGTTCTAGGTAGTACTTTATTCTTTAATATAGGAGAAGTAGATAAACTTTAGGTTATATCTAACGTAATCCACCATTGACCCGCGCACCCCATTGACCCGGGCACTTTTCTATTGCAACACGACCTCCAAAGGCAAATGCTCCATCACACCACAAAACACCATGTCCGTCCAAACCCAAGAAGCTAGAATCATCCTTGCCATTGAGGCTATCCGTACGACCAGAAATATGTCTCGCCGACGTGCAGCCGGGATCTACAACGTCCCTGAAACAACCCTCCGCGACAGGATGAACGGAATCACCCCCGAAAGCCGACAGCTACCACGGCCGTTCGAATTTGACGAAGATCGAAGAGGAGGTGATTGTTCAATATGTACTTGACCGAGATTCGCGTGGGCTTTTGCCTAGGCCTGCAGACGTGATTGATATGGCCAATCTTCTACTTCAAAAACGCGATGCGCGACACGTCGGAAAGAACTGGACAAGCCGCTTGATTGCACGCCGCCCAGAGTTGGATACGCGTTTTAATCGCGTCTATGACTATCACAGAGGTCTCTGTAAAAATCCTGCAATTATTGAGCCATGGTTCCGACGGGTTGCCAGCATGCGTGCGAAATACGGCATCCTCGACTGCGACTTCTACAACTTCGACGAGACGGGCTTCATGATGGACATGATACGGCCAGGCATGGTGGTTACGCGCTCGGATCGGGTTGGTAAACTAAAGGCCATTCAGCCGGGCCATCGAGAATGGGCGACGGCAATTTGCATCATCGCTGGCGACGGGTACGTGGTGCCGCCTTTCTTGGTGGTGAAGGGCCGTTTCCACCTCGCCAGCTGGTACTCGGAACAGCAGATACTGGACGACTGGGCCGTCACAACAACAACCGACGGATGGACAGATAATAAGACTGGCCTGGAATGGCTGCAGCATTTTGATGAGCACACCAAACACCGTCGGAGGGGTGTATATCGGATGCTGGTGCTCAAGGGTCATGAGTGCCACGTCAATGCCGAATTCGAGGACTACTGCAAGGAGAACAACATTGTCACCATATTTGTCTGCCTCCGCATTCCTCGCATCTTACCCAGCCTCTCGATGTCGGGTGTTACAGCGTCTTGAAGAAGATAGATGTACGGTGGTGAAATAGAGCACTTCATCAAGGCCCGGATCACGCACATCACGAAGCCCGAGTTCTTCCTTGCGTTCAAAGCCGCCTTCCGCCGGACTTTCACCCAAGAAAACGTTCTCGGGGGTTTTCGAGGGTCTGGACTCGTCCCCTACGACCAGCAAGCTGTCCTTTCAAAGCTAGATGTCAGGTTGCGGACACCAACCACCCCTGGAACCCCCGATGGGCCACCAACAGCTTGGGTCTTCAAGACGCCCAAGACTACCAACGAAACCCTCTCGCAGTCTACTCTTGTCAAGACTCGGATTGCAAGACATCCATCGAGCTCTCCAACTCCGATTGTAGCTGCTGTTGGTTGGCTTTTGAAAGAAATGCAGGCAATTTCCCATCGGGCATCCTTTTAGAGGCCGAGGTATGGACATTACAAGAGGCCAACGACTTTCCAAGCGCCGGAGGGCCAAACGGACGCGTCTCCAAGATGGAGGGGCCATGAATGGAAGCCAGGCCAGGGATATAATGGCAAAGAAGGGCGTAGTTAACGAGGAAGGACGCGTCGAGGAGGAAAATGAAGGGTCGTCAAAGAGGCGTCGGGCGGGTTTGTGGCTCTGTAGCATCTGTTGTAAGGCTGGCCACAATGCAAGGACATGCCTATAGGCTGGAGAAATGGATAGTCCGTGCGATTCTGAGTAGTTTCAATTGATTGCATTGGTTTTCAATGGACCTCTGGCAGTTTGGAATGAAGATGTCTAGAAAAGTGGGCGGGTCAATGGTGGATCACGTTATCTATAACTAGTTAATACCTAATGTTACTTTAAATTAAATAATAGTTATACATAAAGTAATATTATCGATATTAAGGATATTAATATTAGAATATTCGAATATTTAGAAGGGTTTACTAAAGTATAGGATAAGACTATTATACAATACCTTAAATACTTAAAAGGTTAGGAATATATTATTATTATTATTATTATTCCTACACCGCTATGCCCTTGGGCTCGCCGGTCCAACTATCTAGCTAGTTGTACAGGAAAACCGTCCTGGTTTCCCAGTCGGACTAAAATCCTGTACCGATGTTACCTTGGCCCGTCTCTTCAGAATTCGTCGTGCTACGGTTGAAGGGAGCCTACCCAGCTCCCTGCATTCCGACATCCTGACCGTCCGCCTCCAAGCTATCCGCGGCCTCTGGAGTCGTAACCCCTAGGCCCCCAACACCGTCTCCTCGGCATCCGGTCAGATCCGTATCAACCTTCCTCGCAAAGGTCAGCTTTCCTTGCCTCGAACTCCTTGAAGCCTCCTCCTGGGCTATGAGAAAACCGGGGGGTTGGCCCCGTGGTCTCTTCCTTTTTCCCGCTTCTTGGAAGCCATCGTCGGCCTCCTCCAGGGTGGACGCACCCCGGAATGTGACGCTCCGCATCCTCGGTAGTAGTCTCTCTTCCTGCTGTTGTGTTTGTTGCTGCAAAGCAAGCTCAAAGGTTCGAGACCGGAAATGGTATGCCTCCCTCGCCGCACCCCGGGCCTTCACTGCTTCCGGGCACCACCGTACCCAGGCCGGGTGCTTCCCTGAGCAGCACGGACAAAAGTATGGAATCTCGTTGCCGTGGGCTGGGCACTGGGTTTCCCCCGCCCTCCCGCCTCCCCCATATTATTATTATTCATACTCCGCTATGCCCTAGGGCGTGCCGGGCCCTCAGCTATTTAGTGTAGGAAAACCGTGCCCTCCCGGGCCGGGTGAAAAACCCATACCAACAATCAAGGAACAATGCGTTCTGGTGAGTCTGCGTATACAAAGAGAGGAGGCCTCCTGGCCTCCGAACGAGGGCGCTTCAGGCCGCCGCTTCCAGCTCGAGCCTCCTGGCTAAGCTGTACATCGGCAGCTTCCCCGTGTCCATCAGCCAGTCGAGGACTCTCCTCGCGAGCCGTGCAGTCGTGGGATTGATGCCGTATAGCACAAAGTAAAAGTCCCGTCGTGTCCGAATTCCAGTCCTCTCCCATCTTCGAGCCAACGGTGGGGCCAAACACCACACTACCAGGTGTTTGGCAGTTTCTCGTCCCTCGCCACACTCGCAGGCAGGAGTCAGAACCTCCGGGACACCCCGTGTAAACAAGAAGTCCCGTAAGCCTATTGTTCCCGTCCGGATTTGAATCAGCAGTGAGCTCTTTTCCTTGCTGAGACCGTCGTGCCTCCTTCGGGTTTCGTTCTGGAATAGCGTCTCCTGCTGCTGATAAGGAAATTACTATGCAAAATGGATAAGGAAATGCTCGTTATCGCGAGTTTCGATTGGTTCGTAAGCATGCACCAGCTGGAAGCTCCTGTTTATTCAATCCATCCATCCATGCCCTCTCAATCCGCTCGACCATCGCGACCATCGCGACTCCCGCCGTTTGCACATCTGCCGCTTTTTAATTCCAGTCGTTCTATAGTAAACGTGATAGTCGTTCTCGCCGGCACCGTTTAGGCGGCTGCGGAGGCAGCTGTGGCACGAAAGACATGTAGCAGATGCAATACCGATCAAAACATTGATCATTTTCTCCATGCCCGCGGGAACGGAAGGATTGTCGTCAACTCTCTAAGTTGCCGGCACAACAGCAAGCTTCATGTGATAATTCTGGTCACGATCTTGTTTTCCTCAGCTAACCTATCGCAGGTTGAAGCGTCGCGAGCGAGCATTGAGATTTCTCGCGCAGTCGCCCGCGGAGATGATACTCCCCTTGCTTTCGCACCGGCGCTTGCACCTGGGCCTCGACGGAACCTTACGCACGGCGTCCTTGTTGAAATGTTGTTGTTGTTGTTGTTGTTGTTGTTGTTTCCTACGCCGTTATATCCTAAAGGAGGGCGTGCCGGTCCTACTACTAGCTAGCCTATATAGGAAAACCGTGCTAGGGAGCCCTAGCCGGGTGAAAAACCCATATACCGTTCTTCCAGGCCATCGGGTTCGTCGCTCTACAGGTTAAAGGAGCCTACTCAGCCCCGTGCATACCTCCGTCCTGGCCTTGACCGGCCAGCGCTGTATTAACCCGCATCGCAAAGGTTAGCTTTCCCTGCCTCGGGTCTCTTCTTGCCCCTTCCTAGGCTATAGCGAAGCCGGGGGGTCGACCCCGGAGCCGCTTCCTTTTTCCTGCTTCTTGGAAGCCATCGTCGGCTTCCTCCATTGGGTCTTGGACCCCCTGGAAGGTAATATTCCGCATCTGTTGTAGTGGCTGTTGTCGTTGCTGTTTGTTCTGAAGGGCCTTGCTGAAATGTATCACGAAACGGGCCGTCTTTCTACAGATACCCCGGAAACGGCAGCCGCTCGGGATCAACGATTGATAATCCAGCGACGCCACCGCGTGGAACGACGCCATGGCGTGCAGCCTTCGCAAACCCCGACGTTAAGCAGCTTGATTGGACGAGAACAGCAGCTCAATGCTGAGGACGAGGCGCCTACGACCAGCCGAGGCAATTTGCGACCCGTGCAAGCCGCTGAGGGAGACGATTTGGGTGGTGACACGGATGACTTGCGACGCACACCGCCACGCCGTGGACGCCCTCCCAAACGCCGTTCTCCATCTACGTCTTCGGCTCGGTCTCGCCGGCGCCTTCGCGGACGCCCTCGGCTAGCACGCAATCCCCCCGGCCGCCCACGCATGCACAACCTCCCCGAAGGAAACTTCCGCGCGAATTTAACGAACCCGGTCCGCGGTTCACTGGCGACAACCAGGAGAGGCCACTTTTGGCCGAAGACATTGCAGTTAAGAGAGAGTTCGACGAGGCACTTGCTGCAGAGACGATGCAGCGATGCCTTCGTTGCAAGGAGCGATGGTTTGACGTCAAGCTCATGGCGGATGGTGTTTGCAAGCGCTGTCATGACAAAGATGACAAGAAGCGGCAGGACGAACCTTTTCTCCTCTCCGCAGAGAACAAGCTTGATTTTGATGCCGTCCCACCCGAGTTGCCCCAACTAGAGCCGCTGGAGGAGCTTTTCATTGCGCGTGTGCACGTCAGCGTCAATGTCTTCACGGTATACGATGCTTCCCTGCGAGAGAGTGTACTAGCTAATCAGCGTCAGGTTCGTGGGTAGCAATACAAGTATCCGGGGCATGTTGTACACTTTTTGCGCGACGTGGGCAAGGTGTACTCAGAGCTTCCCTTGCTGCCCAAGGATTTGGACATTGTCATCCTCCGACCGCGTGGATCCGAAGCGGTCGAACAGACGGATCGACAATTCCGCAACCGCTTCCGAGTCCGCCGAGCAGCAGTCGAGACATGGCTCAGATTCCTCGCCGACAACCACCTTGGCTACAGAAATTTCACCTGGAACTACGACCTCTCCCAGTTGCCAGAGGACGGTGACGTCTTTGACCAGCTGAATATCCACGAGGTCGCCGAGTCTGGAGGGTTGCCTGCAGATTCTGGCCCTGTTGAAGAACCGGAAGAGGACAGAGAGGTTGTTGACGAAGCCGCAGTGCTCAATATGCTAATCCATGGTTCGGAATTGAACCAGCTTCAAGGGCGAGTCAATGATAGGGCTACTGAGGTCAATGAGCAAGTGCCCCTAGAGTCAGTCGACCCCCAAGCTGCTCACCAGCTGCAGATGCCTTCCATCCGGCGCACTCCTCTCGATGAGTTCAACCGAAAGCATGCGCTGCTCTCTCTCGCCTGTCCGACCCTGTTTCCTCGGGGAGTTGCGGATTTTGTCGAGCCCAGGCAGCGCAAGATCTCCTGCCAGGATTACATCCAGCATGCCATGAAATGGGAGGATGGCCGATTTGCCAAACACCACAGCTTCCGATTTATCGCGCTAAACACTCTGATGAGGCAGCAGGCGAGGGGTCATAGCCGATTCTACGTCAGCAAGAACCACCGAACGCCTCTTACGAAGGAGGCGCTGCAGGAGGCGCTTGCCGATCCGGACACGCCAGAGGCCCAGGCCATCCTCAACCGGATCTCTCGCTATGCTAGTGTCATCAAAGGCACACGTCCCTTTTGGTACCGCCGACGTCGCGAGTGCGAGTCTTTTGCGCACTGTCTTGGTGTCCCCTCTGCTTTCATCACACTGAGCCCAGCCGACCTGCACTGGCAGAGCCTCTACCGGCACATGCCCGAGTACGAGGAGTGGAAGGCGCTTGATGAGCCGAGACGCATGGCCAAGTCCCGCCGGCTGTTGCGGGAGAACCCGCATATCGCGGCCTGGCACTTCCACTCGCGGAACTCGCTTTGCAGGAAGATTGTGCTGAAGAAAAAGTTCAATGTGCCCGACTTTTGGTACCGGTACGAGTGGCAAGGCCGCGGCAGTAGTCATTCTCATGGGCTCTACTGGTTCCATGGGAGCCCTGCTCCTGATATGGCAACCCCCGAGGCGAGAGAGCGCTTCGCAAGGATCTGGGGATATCACGTTACAGCAGTCAGTCCGCAGCAAGAGCAGGGCGCTGACGAGGGTAACCCTCTGTCTGTTGACCCTCTGGAGACGCCCGTTACCTGGGAGTGGCTGAACAGGATCGTCAACCGCTGTCAGCGACACCAGTACAATCCACTGGTGTCTCTTTGCTGGCTGGCCAATACGGACTGCTCGCCCTGCACGAGTGTAGAGGCTGTTATCAACTATGCTGGGAAGTATTGCACCAAGTCTGAGGCCCAGACCAGCACATATGCGCAGATTGCCCAGAGTATCCTTCCCTACATGTCAGACAACAACCCCATGATTTCTTTTGTTCTGATGAATAAACTAATCGGAGAGAGGGACTACTCTGCGCAGGAGATCTGTCATATCCTCCTGGGACTCCCTCTGCAAGAGGACAGCCGAGTGGTGCAGAGCGTTGACTGTAGGCCCCGCGAGAGACACGCTCGTGCAATTGACATCACGGCGGATGGCAACAGTCTACGAGAAGTATCTCCGACGGCCCGATCATATGAAGGATGTCTCCTACTTCGAGTTCCTACTAAGCTAGAACTTCAAGGCACGAAATGCGGACAAATGGGCGATTTGGCGGCCTCCTGCGATGCCTAGGGTGTTGTATTATTGCCCCCGGTACAAGCCGGTCCGCTCCCATCGGCAGTACTCCGACTTCTGCCGTGTCAAGCTGCTGCTCAGCTATCCCCACCGCCAGACGGAAGATCTGTCCCAGGTTGATGGTCGAAAGTTCGACAACTATTCATCTGCCTATCGCTACTGCCTCGAGCATCATGACCACCCGGACGATCACTATGACACTATTGACGAGCCTGATCCGTCTCCGGATGAGGAGGAGTTTGAGCCAGGGGGGGACGCCGGGGACATTACCCTCGAGGACTGGCAGGAGACGGGTGAAGACACTCGGCGGGCTGATGTTTGAGCGGCCCTTCGACCGCAGCAGGATCTACCGCGAGACACCATCACGAGCTAGGGGGTTGAAGCTGTCCGATCACGCTACCGGGCAACTGCAGGCGTTAGATGCTGTGGCGGGGGAGGTTCCCTCAGAGTCTAATTGATTTGTAAGTAGCGAGGACGTGAGTGTAGGGACGTAACGTGAGTGGCAGAATAGAAACGATTAGTAGCTATAGTTAAGTGTAAGAAGACGGCTCAAGTAGATAGAGTTGTTGGCCGACGGACAGATATTGGCGCTTCGTCTCCCCCGTAATCAACCCTAACCCCGATTGTCCTCCGGAGAGGGACAGGAAAATTGCCAGGAGCGGGAGAGAGAAAGGAAGCGCCCCGTAGCGTAGCGAAGGGCCGCGCCACTAACGAACGAAGCGACGCCAGCAATTTTAGGTAAATAGATCCCTTTATTTATATCGGTCTCTCTCTAGTATTAAATAAAGGGGTTAAGATATCATATTACCTAGGAAAACCCTTACTATTTTTAGCTATTTAAAACAAAGAACAAACGAAGATATTTCAATGGAAAGGAAAGCACGAAAGAAGCAACAAAACGCCTGAAACTACCATCATTCGATCGAGCTTGGAAAGCTCTAACCGCCGACGGCAGTGTCCCCGTTGCGGGATCTGCCGCGCCTCATCGCGATGGCTCGCAAAGGAAAGGGCAAGATCGCGCCCGGGACTGCGAAAAATGCTGCACGGGGGGAGCCTGCCCCACCTACCGAAGGAGCTCAACCGATCACAACGGACAGCGACGAAGAGATGGAAGATGACATTTACAATGGCCCTAACCCTCTACATCCAGGAATACGCCGTCCCGCCCTGGGTACCTCGCCTACGACCGACGCTCGAAGCCGATCGAGGGAAGGCGGCCGAGATGGTCAACAAAATTTCGGGAATCGTGATCGCAACCAGCTCATCCGTAAAGAAGGGCATTGCTGGCATGGGCGGCCTTGCACGGGATACTCTCTTCAACAGGACTAGCGAGACTGTGACAAACTATGCTGTTGTTCTTGGGACAAGGGAAGAGCAGAACCCATATACAGCAGAGCTAGCAGCCATCGCAATGGCCCTGGAGAAGTTACCAGCTAGCATCTGCCACAGGCACATCACCGTGATCACTAGGAACCAGTCAGCGCTGGCAGCAGTTGGACAGCCGCGGCAGCAATCCGGCCAAAGCATCATACGGCAAATCTACGACTTGGCTAGGCTGCACCGACAAAGAGGGAACTCGGTCAACTTTCTGTGGATACCAGCGGAGATTGACTTCGCGCTGGGGTCAGATGCCAAGGCAGCAGCCCAGAGAGCGGCAAGGACGCACACCCGACTCCCAAATGCCCCAGGCCAAGTCTACCGCGATGAGGCTGGGAATGGAAAGACAACGGGCGACAAGATTTCTACCTGTAGGTGTGGGCAAGTTCTCAAAGGCCATGGACGCAGCACTACCAGGTAAGCACACGCGCCATCTCTATGACAAGCTGAAGCGAAGGGAGGCCTGCGTATTGGCGCAGCTCCGAACCGGAATGGCGAGACTGAACGGTTTTTTGAGCAGGATTGGGGCGGTCGAGTCAGACCTTTGTGCCTGTGGACAAGCGAGGGAATCGGTGGAACACTTTCTTTTCCGATGCGTGAGATGGACAGCTCTAAGGGAAGACATGCTGCAATGCACAATGGCAAGACGAGGAAGCCTCTCGTTCTATCTGGGAGGGAAAGCGCCATCGGATACAAGGCATTGGTCACCAGATATAAAGGCAGTCCGGGCGACGATCAAATACGCAATGGCAACAGGAAGGCTGGAGCTGAATGAGGAGGCGAGTCTAGGCCAGTCACAGTAGAAAAAGCCGACACTCAACACCACGAGCCTTAACCAGCAGGTCCCGCTTTAGCTGCTGAAGATAGGACGCTGAACACTTGGAGAAAGTAGCCTCCAAGCTGATCTGCTAACAACAACCAAGGCAAGAGGTAAATGGTGCAGCGAGAAAGAGGGAAGAAGTAGGGGGCTTATACGAGTTAAAGGCAAAACGATTTGATCCGGATGTAATTAGCGTGCTAAGGCCCTATAGGCCCAGTGCCTCCGGGCGAAATAAAATCCATCCATCCATCCACGACAAATCAGACGAGGTACTTGCAGGGACAATAGTTCACTTGGCCAAGGAACCAAACGAGGCGGTCTCCCAAGTAGTGGCGGACAAGATCATGGCACGGCTGCGGAGGCTGCGTAGACTGGAAAGCGGACAGGCACCAGAGACGGGAAGCGAGGGAATCGACCTTACGAGGATTCAAGAAAGCATCGTGGACGCCGTGGTGGACGGTGTCGGACAAGGGACAGGGAGGGCCATGGAGGAAGTGAGAAAACAGGTGCAGGAAGTCCGGAAGGAGATGCAGGAGGTCCAGAAGGAGTTGCAAGAGGCCCGGAGGGAACTGCAGGATCAGAGAAAAAAGCAAGCTCCTGCACCAGCAACAACGGTAGCCCGGTCGTGGGCTGCAGTGGTGGCTGGGGAAGGGGAGCTCCCGAAGAAAATCATACCGGGGCGGCTCAACAAGGAAATACTGGTGAGGGAACTTCCTGACTGGTCATAGTAACCAGTGCCGTCGCTCTCGTGACTCCCTCGATCGTTGGAATTCGGAACTTGACTCGTCCCACCGGCTGCAGCCCCAGCTGCTTGCCGAATGCCGCTTCTGTGACGTCCCTCAAGTCTCTCTTCAACATCCCTTTCACCAAAACCGCAAATGTCCGCTTTGCCTCTTTCGCCGCCTCTCCAAACGCCGTTCCAATCCATCCTCCGTTCTTCGCGTGCCATTCTTTCGCTTCAGCATCTTGAAAAGTGACGATAACGTCCCCGCTAGGGAGCTTGCGTGCTGCCACTGCGCCCTTCCTCTCGGAAACCCGTTGACCGCCTGGACGATCTCTTGTGGAGATCTCCGGGTCAGCGACGGCTCTATAAATCCAATCGAAGAGGGCCTGCGAGGAGGGAGTGGTTTGGCGGGCCCAGATGGTCAACTACGAGCCGTACTGGTCTTACGCTACAGGCTACCCAGTGTTACAGGTGCTGGAAATGGGGTCACACCCAATGGTTCTGCAAGAAGTCTGCGCTGTGCCCGCGCTGCGGCACAGCGGCCCATGGGGGAGACGGGAGGGCGGGGGAAGCCCAATGCCCAACCCACGGCAACGAGATTCCATACTTTTGTCCGTGCTGCTCAGGGAAGCACCCGGCCTGGGTACGGTGGTGCCCGGAAGCAGTGAAGGCCCGGGGTGCGGCGAGGGAGGCATACCATTTCCGGTCTCGAACCTTTGAGCTTGCTTTGCAGCAACAAACACAACAGCAGGAAGAGAGACTACTACCGAGGATGCGGAGCGTCACATTCCGGGGTGCGTCCACCCTGGAGGAGGCCGACGATGGCTTCCAAGAAGCGGGAAAAAGGAAGAGACCACGGGGCCAACCCCCCGGTTTTCTCATAGCCCAGGAGGAGGCTTCAAGGAGTTCGAGGCAAGGAAAGCTGACCTTTGCGAGGAAGGTTGATACGGATCTGACCGGATGCCGAGGAGACGGTGTTGGGGGCCTAGGGGTTACGACTCCAGAGGCCGCGGATAGCTTGGAGGCGGACGGTCAGGATGTCGGAATGCAGGGAGCTGGGTAGGCTCCCTTCAACCGTAGCACGACGAATTCTGAAGAGACGGGCCAAGGTAACATCGGTACAGGATTTTAGTCCGACTGGGAAACCAGGACGGTTTTCCTGTACAACTAGCTAGATAGTTGGACCGGCGAGCCCAAGGGCATAGCGGTGTAGGAATAATAATAATAATAATAATATATTCCTAACCTTTTAAGTATTTAAGGTATTGTATAATAGTCTTATCCTATACTTTAGTAAACCCTTCTAAATATTCGAATATTCTAATATTAATATCCTTAATATCGATAATATTACTTTATGTATAACTATTATTTAATTTAAAGTAACATTAGGTATTAACTAGTTATAGATAACGTGATCCACCATTGACCCGCCCACTTTTCTAGACATCTTCATTCCAAACTGCCAGAGGTCCATTGAAAACCAATGCAATCAATTGAAACTACTCAGAATCGCACGGACTATCCATTTCTCCAGCCTATAGGCATGTCCTTGCATTGTGGCCAGCCTTACAACAGATGCTACAGAGCCACAAACCCGCCCGACGCCTCTTTGACGACCCTTCATTTTCCTCCTCGACGCGTCCTTCCTCGTTAACTACGCCCTTCTTTGCCATTATATCCCTGGCCTGGCTTCCATTCATGGCCCCTCCATCTTGGAGACGCGTCCGTTTGGCCCTCCGGCGCTTGGAAAGTCGTTGGCCTCTTGTAATGTCCATACCTCGGCCTCTAAAAGGATGCCCGATGGGAAATTGCCTGCATTTCTTTCAAAAGCCAACCAACAGCAGCTACAATCGGAGTTGGAGAGCTCGATGGATGTCTTGCAATCCGAGTCTTGACAAGAGTAGACTGCGAGAGGGTTTCGTTGGTAGTCTTGGGCGTCTTGAAGACCCAAGCTGTTGGTGGCCCATCGGGGGTTCCAGGGGTGGTTGGTGTCCGCAACCTGACATCTAGCTTTGAAAGGACAGCTTGCTGGTCGTAGGGGACGAGTCCAGACCCTCGAAAACCCCCGAGAACGTTTTCTTGGGTGAAAGTCCGGCGGAAGGCGGCTTTGAACGCAAGGAAGAACTCGGGCTTCGTGATGTGCGTGATCCGGGCCTTGATGAAGTGCTCTATTTCACCACCGTACATCTATCTTCTTCAAGACGCTGTAACACCCGACATCGAGAGGCTGGGTAAGATGCGAGGAATGCGGAGGCAGACAAATATGGTGACAATGTTGTTCTCCTTGCAGTAGTCCTCGAATTCGGCATTGACGTGGCACTCATGACCCTTGAGCACCAGCATCCGATATACACCCCTCCGACGGTGTTTGGTGTGCTCATCAAAATGCTGCAGCCATTCCAGGCCAGTCTTATTATCTGTCCATCCGTCGGTTGTTGTTGTGACGGCCCAGTCGTCCAGTATCTGCTGTTCCGAGTACCAGCTGGCGAGGTGGAAACGGCCCTTCACCACCAAGAAAGGCGGCACCACGTACCCGTCGCCAGCGATGATGCAAATTGCCGTCGCCCATTCTCGATGGCCCGGCTGAATGGCCTTTAGTTTACCAACCCGATCCGAGCGCGTAACCACCATGCCTGGCCGTATCATGTCCATCATGAAGCCCGTCTCGTCGAAGTTGTAGAAGTCGCAGTCGAGGATGCCGTATTTCGCACGCATGCTGGCAACCCGTCGGAACCATGGCTCAATAATTGCAGGATTTTTACAGAGACCTCTGTGATAGTCATAGACGCGATTAAAACGCGTATCCAACTCTGGGCGGCGTGCAATCAAGCGGCTTGTCCAGTTCTTTCCGACGTGTCGCGCATCGCGTTTTTGAAGTAGAAGATTGGCCATATCAATCACGTCTGCAGGCCTAGGCAAAAGCCCACGCGAATCTCGGTCAAGTACATATTGAACAATCACCTCCTCTTCGATCTTCGTCAAATTCGAACGGCCGTGGTAGCTGTCGGCTTTCGGGGTGATTCCGTTCATCCTGTCGCGGAGGGTTGTTTCAGGGACGTTGTAGATCCCGGCTGCACGTCGGCGAGACATATTTCTGGTCGTACGGATAGCCTCAATGGCAAGGATGATTCTAGCTTCTTGGGTTTGGACGGACATGGTGTTTTGTGGTGTGATGGAGCATTTGCCTTTGGAGGTCGTGTTGCAATAGAAAAGTGCCCGGGTCAATGGGGTGCGCGGGTCAATGGTGGATTACGTTAGATATAACCTAAAGTTTATCTACTTCTCCTATATTAAAGAATAAAGTACTACCTAGAACTGTTAGGTTATAACTTTATCCTAGATCTCTTCTTCTAGCTATAGAATCTACCATAGTTTTAAGTTATTAAAATAGGGACTAGAAATAGAAATATATAGTATTAGTGGTAAGTTAGTAAAGTATATAAAAAGTCATAATACCAATTTTATGTATCTACTATTTACTGAGAATGAGCAGTAGAAGGATCGGCGCGCCCCAGGGCATATCGGTGTAGGAAATAATAATATTTACTGAGAATGCTTCCTTTAATAGCAAAAAGCATTAACGTGTATGATAAGTGAATGTCACAGACATGCGAATGTCACAAAAATCGTTACCTCCACAACAAAATCCAAGATAATATTCTCAAAACGAACCTAAATCATTGATACTACTCGGAATCGTCTTCCCCAGGCAGTTCCGTAACTCCTTGACAGGTGCGGGCATTATGGCCAGGCCCGCCACATCTACCACAACGCCGCGCGCGTGTCTCAGTTCTCGGCTTCCGACCACTCCCCGCCTGTGTTTCCTCCCTTATCTGCATCTCAACATCTTTCTGGGCTTGCAAATCCTGTCTACCCTGCACAGTAAGCGATCCTCCTTGCCGTAGCCGCTTTTCTTTTGCCCTCCGGCGCTTGCTTAGTGCCTCATTCGCCGCTCGTAAGTCCCGTATCTCCGCTTGCATCAACGCCATCTTATGCATTATCTTCGACGTGCCCTTTGCAAACTAATCAACTGCAGCTAAAAGCGACGTTGGAGAGCTATTTTGATGCTGGGCAATCCAGGTCTTGATAAGGGTGGTCTGCGAAGAGGCTTCGATTGGGTTGTTCGGCGTCTTGGAAACCCACGCGTAGGCACTGCCTGGCCGTGAGTTCGGGGGTGTTGGCGTCTTAAGACGGATGTCGAGCTGGGAGATCACCTCCTCGGGATAAAAAGGAACAAGCCCAGCACCTCGAAAGCCTCCCCGAATGTTGTCGTACGTCATCGTTGCCTGGTGAGCTGCGAGGAATGCAGGAAAGAAGTCCTCCTTAGTAATGTGGGTTATGCTTGCCCGCATCATCTCCTCGATCTGCTTGCCGTATGCCGCCTTCAGCGGGCTGAAACACCCAACATCGGCTGGCTGGAGCTTGTGGGATGAATGGGGAGGCATGCAGAGGGTGATGATGTTGTTCTTGCAGTAGAGCTCGAAGTCAGGCGAGTGGTGGCTGCCATGGCCGTCGAGGATGAGGAGGCGATAAACCCCAGTTGTTCGAGCTTTGGTGTGCTTGTCGAAGTGCTTAATCCAATCCAGACCAAGCTCATTGGTATTCCAACCATTTGCGGACGTAAAAAAATCATCCGGCCCTTAGGCAATCGGCTGTTCTCGTACCAAGAAGAGAGGTGGTAGCTGCCCTCGACGATGATGAATGGTGGGATTGCCCAGCCTCGGGCATTGATACCCTGGATCACAGTTGACCATTTGCGGTTTCCTGGCTGCCTTGTCTTCCGTCTGCCACGCCGTTCAGAGCCCGTAACAACCAGTATAGTCGAGATGACGCCCATCAGAAACCCAATCTCGTCAAAGTTGTAAAGATAGTTCTAAACTAGTTAGATCTATTAGCTTCTACTGGAGGAGCTAGAGCTAGTGTCTACCGGCCCAGTACCAAACCACAAGAAACAGCTTGAGAGGTGGATGGAGGAGGAAATGAGAAGGGAGTGGATTGGAAGATGGGAGAGTGAGGTAGCTAGGGTGGTCGCTAGGAACCCGGGGCGGGCCCTCGAACCGGCCGATGCGACCGCGCGGTTCGACGCCTCTATCATGAACCGACACCGGTCGAGGGACCCAGCCTGGGAGCTATCGAAGGCGAAGAGTACCCTCCTAGTGCAAGCGAGGACCGGGAAGATTGGGCTTCGAGGGTTCCTCTTTACTAGGAGGGTCCCCGAGGTGGTAACGCCGGTATGCCGCTGCGGTATGGCGCGCGAGACATTCAAACACCTCGTACTCGAATGCAACGGAGCCGCAGATAAACCTCAGCCCTGGCCAGACGACGGCGCAGAGCTACTGGAGTGGCTCGATGACGTGGAGAAGGCTGCCATAGTGGTGGGGTGGGTACTTGGGCTGGGGAGGCTAAACGAGTTCCGGCTGGCGGTAGAGCTGAAAAATGAGAACAACGAGGAGGCCCGCGGCGGGGCCGAAGCGGAGTAGCAGAAGGGTATCGATGGAACAGAGGTTACAACTCATTTTATCTATTTCGTTACTTTGACCTCGGAAGGTGGGTGAGCCCTTTCGAGGAGATGGATCTACGGGGTAGCGGCGGAGGTGCGGAGGTTTTCATCCAGCTTAGGCATGGTTTTTCCTACCAAGTTAATCGCTGAGGGGCCGCATGTGATTAGTACCTAGGGCGGGAGCCTTTAAGTCTACCCCAATCCGTAACCTCGAGACAGAGACGTGGGTCCCACCATTGGACTTGTACCTAAACAAACGGCTTGCCGATTTCGAAAACCGACTCCAACGACCCGATCTGGACGACGGTCAAGGCGGCAAGAAGACGGCGGCGAGCGTTGTCCTCACCGCCTGCCGCAAGATACAGCAGAGACTAGCTCAAGGAAGGGCAACAGGGGCCGACCGCGAACCTTGGGACCTCAAGGGCCTACGGCGGTGGAGAGAGCCGCGGGAACGGTCATGCGCTGGACGGGGGGAATCGTCGATACGGACAGGGTAGTAGAAGAGGCCTGGAGAGCGAGGTGGTTAAAGGAACGGGACGGCAGAGCAATTACCAGGCCGGCGGACGACTTTGACCATCAGCGGGAGACGCTATTTCGGAACGAAATCCTAAGGAGGCATGACGGTCTCAACAAGGCGAAGAGCTCACTGCTGATTCAAACCCGGACGGGAGCAATAGGCCTACGGGACTTCTTGTTCACACGGGGAGTCCCGGAGGTTCTGACGCCTGCCTGCGAGTGTGGCGAGGGACGAGAGACTGCCGAACACCTAGTAGTGTGGTGTTTGGCCCCACCGTTGGCTCGAAGATGGGAGAGGACTGGAATTCGGACACGACGGGACTTTTACTCTGTTCTACACGGTATCAATCCCACGACTGCACGGCTCGCGAGGAGGATTCTCGACTGGCTGATGGACACGGGGAAGCTGCCGATGTACAGCTTAGCCAGGAGGCTCGAGCTGGAAACGGCGGCCTGAAGCGCCCCCGTTCGGAGGCCAGGAGGCCTCCTTTCTTTGTATATGTAGGCTCACTAAAACGCATCGCTCCTTGATTGTTGGTACGGGTTTTTCACCCGGCCTGGGAGCGCACGGTTTTCCTGTACACTAAAATAGCAGAGGGTCCGGCACGCCCTAGGGCATAGCGGAGTATGAATAATAATAATAATAATTAGTACCTAGCATGATAAGAGAAATAATAATAATAATATTAGCTTCTACTATATTAAAGTATTGTATCCCGTTACAAGATATAATTAAAACTTATAGGTTACTTATAGGAGGGATATAATTGATCCTTCCTTCTAGTTACTAAAAGAAGAGTATCTATTATTAAGTCTCGAGCTTCCACTAATTTAGGGTTGTTCCTTATAGGGACTAGAGTAAAATCCTTAATATTATAATCCTTATAAATTATTTCTCAAAGTCTAGGCTTAACAGATAATCTAAAGGCTAAGGATATCGGGTACTTCTTATAATAACCTTAACTATTTCCTCTAACTAGGAGGTTACTACTTGTTTTTTTAATAAGCTATAATACCTTTATAAATTATTTAGACAACAAGCTGCGGAACGGAAACTCAAAACCCAAGATTTCGCCTTATCGAGGATTGCAGCAAAGACGTGGGGCCCGAGCCTATCCAGGGCTCGGGAGGTCTACGTAAAGTGCATCCGCAGTGCCATAGCTTACGGAGCCTCCAGCTTCCACCAACCAACAGCTCCAAGAGCTACAGGGCCGAAGGGGCCTGCAAAGGTCTTGTCAAAAGCTCAGAACAGGAGCCTTCGAATAGTAGTAGGGGCATACAAGTCAGCTCCTATTCGGTGCCTAGAAACAGAGGCCTGGGTGCCACCGCTAGACTTATATCTCAACAAGCGGCTGGCTGACTTCGAGGGCCGGCTACAGAAGCAGGCCCTACAATCAGGGACTGGGCCGGAGGCTGAGAGAATAACCACGGGGCATCTAATCACTGAGGCCTGCAATAAGGTCTACCGAAGGTTCAACAAGAGGAGGAAAACCCGAGGCCGGGGGCCCCGTCAGGGCCCGCAGAGTCCCACGCCCACTGAACTAGCCGCTAGTGTAGTGGCCCAGTGGGTTAACTACAAATGGAAGATCGGGGGGAAGGATAGGGGGTCGAATACCAAGGAGGTGGTTGAACTGGCCTGGCAGGCCCGGTGGGAACAACAGAGAGCTGGTCAACAAAGTACTACTCGACAGAGGGTATTAAACAGGAGGATAGCCGACGAAGACCCCCCAGCCCTCTTGTTTACCGACAAAGCTCTGATGAGACACGAAGGTCTTACAAAGGCGCAGAGCTCCCTCCTTTCCCAGGCCCGTATCGGGGATATAGGCCTCCGGGACTACCTGTTCAGGGTGAAAGTCCCGGAGGTCCGCACCCCCTATTGCGAGTGCGGGAGAGGCAGGGAGACGGTGGAGCACTTGGTGGTTTGGTGCCCCGACCCGCCGTTACAAAGGCCGTGGGACGGCAGAGAGATTCGGTCACATCGGGACCTACAAACCGTATTACGGGGAGTAGGTGCCCGGAGCAGAAGATTTGTTAGGAAGGTCCTTGGCTGGCTGATGGACTCTGGCCGGCTACTGGAGTATAGGCTGGCCAGAAGGCTGGAGCTAGAAACAGTGGATGGGGAGGGCTAGAGGGCCCGGAGGCCGGCAAAGGGCCTCCTTTCTTTTGCAGTATGACGGATTCATAGATTGTTGTCTCAAAGTGGTAGACAGAGGTTTTTATCCGGCCTATACGGTACGGTTTCCTTTGTAAATAGCAGTAGAAGGACCGGCGCGCCCCAGGGCATATCGGTGTAGGAAATAATAATAATAATAAATTATTTAGACATAGAGATCTTATTGTAATATAGGTAAAGGTAAGAGATCTTTCTCCCTAATTAAAAAAAGCCTTTAAAGCATTAAAGGAGAGAGGAGAAGAGGGAGAAGAGGATTTAGGTAACCGTTTTTATAGATATTTTCTATCTATATCTATAGTTTCTTCCTATGGGTATAGCTGTATTTTATGACTTATTAGCTTTTGACTTAATTTAACATAGCTATTTAATATTTCTTGTACCTTCTTCTTTATTTTACTATTTACTACGGTTTATTAGATTGGATTATACTCTAGTTTTACATATTATTATAGAAGGGTTATAGAAAGAATTAGAAACCAATTCGTTGTCAAGAACACCGTATTCGTTGATAGGCATACTTCCTAGAATACTTTGTGTGTTCAGATGGGGATGCCGATGAAGAAGCCGCTGGACCCAGTTCTCGCCGACAGTCATTGCCGGGACTGGGGTGGATGTAAGAGACGCGTCGAGTAAAGTGAAGCCTCCACGCTCGCGGAGAAGAAGGTCGGCCATCTGTCGGATATAACCGATCGTTGGCGACATCCCACGGTCGTCCAATAATTCGATCCATTGAATCAGGGCAGATTCTTCGGTCGGGAGTAGCTTTCGACTCTTGACTTGCGCTTGTTGACGTGTAGCACCCCCTTGACGCGTTCTTGTAAAATCCTATTCGGTACGTCAAATGCGGCTGCAGCCTTGCGAATGCTTTTGATTTGGCCTGAACGTAAGGCCTCGAGTGCTAATTGGATCTTATCTTCGTGCTGTAGAGGCTTTGGCATTTTGCCGGGCACAATGGCGTAGTGGAGCGAGTCCGAAGTCGACGTGGTGGGGTGTGGGGCAGGGAAGTGACCGGAAAGGTAATAGATTACGTTAGATTCTAGAAAATAAAGGGTATAATTATTTTTAAACTTACTCCTAGGTAACTAAGCGAAAGCCTAATTTACTAGTTAACTATTATAAAATTGGACTTTATAGGTAAAAGCTTAAAAAAAATCGAAAGGGAACTAAAAAAAGAAAGAGGCTATATATAATAACTAGAAAGAGAAAACAGCAGGTAAGGAGTATGGAATGTATCCTTAAAGAAGATCCAAAGTAAGGGAGTTTCTATTTCAAAAACTACCTACCTTCTATACCTAGTAGTAATAAAAACTTTCTTCTACAACTTTGACGAAACTGGTTTCCAGATGGGTGTTGCAAGCACGTCTAAAGTGGTCACTCGATCTGACCGACGGAATCGGCCTGTTGTTAAGTCCGTGCACCCACCTCCCGGTCAGGCCACCAACCGATCAAATTTCCCCATCTGCCTCCCCATTTTCAGTATCTACAGGAGGGTCGAAAATTGACCATTCCAGCCAGATATCTTCAAATACATATCCATCTACTTTCTCTGAGAGTTCTAGCTGCTTCGCAAGTGCTTTTTTAGCCTGCATGATCTGTTCAATCTGGGCAAACCGGGTGTTGGGATCCATCCTGACTTTCTTCCTTTTTCTCGGCCTTAGTCTATCTACCTCAGCTTCCAGTGCCCGGATCTTCTGTTCTTGACTAGCTACCTTGATGGCTGTATTGTCAAGGCTTTTGCCCACCTTTTTGAAAAGACTCCTAGCCACTGGGTCTATTGTTTGCAGTCGTCGTAGACGGACATTTGTTGATATCAATCTGTGGACCTCCTGGCTGCGGTTTGGAGTCTTGATTAGCCGACGACTGACTGACTGGCTGACTGACTGACTGGCTGACTGACTGACTGGCTGGTTGGGTTCAACAGTAGACGGCTCATCAGAGGTTTGTCTAGGTTGACTGGCCACAATCCTGATGCCTTCCAGCCACTTCGGATATTCCTTTCTTTGATGGCATCGTTCTTGGCTTGCGCATAACGCCGTAAGAAGAGCCTCTTGCCAATGGGGGCACAGTCTGTCATCACAGTGAGGTCGTTGATACCACGGCGGTAAGTGGTCTTCAACAGAGAGAAAACCGACAGGTTGAGGGGCTGTAGAACGTGGGAGGCATGTCCAGGTAAGAAGAGGAGGTAGATATTGTTGGAAAAACAGGTCCACATGAAGTCGTCAGTCTCGTGGCTACCGTGGCCATCAACAATAAGGAGCCTCTTCTTCGATGTCGCCGTCGTCGGACAAAACATCTTTGTCAGCCACTCGAGGGCATTATCATTAGATGTCCAGCCATTCTGACTCGTCGAAAACCGCCAGTTGCGTAATGGATCAAGGTCTTGGTCGTTATCAGGGAACCACTGTTGTTGGATGTCTTTCCCCTTGAAGATGACTAACGCTGGGAGAGCTTTTCGGGTTGCTGAGATGCACTCTATAATGGTTGTCCAGATCCGGGATTCGGGGTGTTTCGACAACGCTTCCTTCGTCTCCGATGATCCAACGCATAAGCCGTTGATTCCCAGACCTTCCATTATCCCTGTTTCATCCATATTCCAACGGCCTTGCGGGTCTGACTGGGATCGCGAGGAGATGGAACCAGGCCTTGATAACATCAGTACTAGCTGCATCCAACCGTTTGATATCCATACGTCTATCTTTCTTCGTCTTTAAAACTGGGTATCTTCCGATGAACTTCTGAAGCCAGTGTTTACCGATAATCTGGTCAGATCCAGAGGCACGGAGGATACGGTTAGCACAGACCTCGATTTGTCGATGCTTCACCGGAAGCCCTAGAGCTTCCTGGGCAAGAACCCAGTCGGCCAAGTGTTTTTCTTGACCAGGGCTGAGCTTCTGCATCACCTGTGCTTTGTACTGTCCCTTCGGTTAGGCGTTGGCGACGACTCGGTCCCGGAGGGTAGAAAAGGAAACTCCCCATGCCTCGCTAGCTTTGCGGATGGATTGGCCATCCCTGACGGCTTGGATTGCCTGCTGGATGTTATCTTCTGGAGCCATGGAAGAGACAATTTGAATAAGAGTAATGGAGCTGAATTTGAGCTTGTTTTGGTGGAACTGGGTGGTTTGGAATAGAGAGGGTGCCGAATCAGGGGTGGGGAAAAAAATTGATCGGTTGGTGGCCTGACCGGGAGGTGGGTGCATATCTAGAAGCGCTTACTAGAAATATTATTATTTACTTATAAGAACTAACTAAGAACTAATAGAATTATTATTATTATTATTTCCTACACCGATATGCCCTGGGGCGCGCCGGTCCTTCTACAGCTATTTACAAAGGAAACCGTACCCTATGGGCCGGACAAAAACCTCTGCCTACCCCTTCGCGACTACAATGTATGAATCCATCTGACTACGAAAAGAAAAGAGGCCCTTTGCCGGCCTCCGGACTCTCTAGCCCTCTCCATCCACTGTTTCTAGCTCTAGCCTTCTGGCTAGACTGTACTCCAGTAGCCGGCCAGAGTCCATCAGCCAGCCCAGGAGCTTCTTAACAAGCCTAACGCTCCGGGCACCTACTCCCCGTAGTACGGTTTGTAAGTCAGTCCCCATGTGACCGAATCTCCCGGTGTTCCCACGGTCTCTGTAACGTTGGGTCAGGGCACCAAACCACCAAGTGCTCCACTGTCTCCCTGCCTTCCCCGCACCCGCAGTAGAAGGTACGGACCTCCGGGTCCTTAACCCTGAATAGGTAGTCCTTAAGGCCTATATCCCCTATACGGGCCTGGGAAAGGAGGGTACTCTGGGCCTTCGTAAGGCCCTCGTACCTCTGTAGGGCCTTTTTCGTGAAAAGGAGAGCTGGGGGGTCTTCATCGGCCATCCTTCTACCAACCCCCTCTTGCCTTGGTCTCTGTTGCTCCCACCAGGCTTGCCATGCTAGTTCCATCACTTCGTCGGTTTTCAACTTCTTGCCTCTCTTTTCTCCTGTCTTCCACCTCTGGCTAGCCCACCGGCCCACTATAATAGTGGCTTGCTCGGTGGGTGTTGGGGCATGCGGGCCATGACGGGGCTTCTGTCCTCGGCCCTTCTTCTTCTTTCTAACCCTGCGGTAGACTCTGTTGCAAGCCTCTGTGATCAAGTGCCCCGGGGTACGGAATAGTCTTTGGGGCTTCTGGTCCCGCCCCTGGTTGTAGGGTCTCCTTGCGTAGCCGGTCTTCGAAGTCGGCAAGCCGTTTGTTGAGGTAGAGGTCCAGTGGTGGCACCCAAGCCTCCGTCTCTAGGCACCTAATAGGGACCGATTTATAAGCTCCAACCACTATGCGGAGGCTCCTGTTCTGAGCTTTCGACAGAACCTTTGCGATCCCTTTTGGCTTCTTGGTCCCCCCTGGAGCTGTTGGCTGGTGGTAGCTAGAGGCTCCGTAGACTATAGCACTGTGAATGCACTTGGTGTACAGCTCTCGGGCCCGTGCAAGGCTCGGGCCCCACGTCTTGGCCGCTCGCTAATGTCTATATACTAGTTATAGTATAATATTATTATTCATACTCCGCTATGCCCTAGGGCGTGCCGGGCCCTCAGCTATTTAGTGTACAGGAAAACCGTGCCCTCCTGGGCCGGGTGAAAAACCCATACCAATAATCAAGGAACGATGCGTTCTGGTGAGTCTGCGTATACAAAGAGAGGAGGCCTCCTGGCCTCCGAACGGGGGCGCTTCAGGCCGCCGCTTCCAGCTCGATCCTCCTGGCTAAGTTGTACATCGGCAGCTTCCCCGAGTCCATCAGTGTGAGAGACGAGGGACATTTGGGCGAGGCGCGAGGGCACTGCCGATGAGACTCTATTTCTGCTAATTGCAAGATGGGGAGAAAAGGAAGAGAAGCTGGAAGAGCTCTCGCGATACAGGAGTTAAATGCCAGCGCGTGTGGTCACGTGCCCAACCAAGTGGAGCCACAGTGCACTCCGACGGCAGCTGCCGTCACAATCAGCCAGTCGAGGACTCTCCTCGCGAGCCGTGCAGTCGTGGGATTGATGCCGTATAGCACAAAGTAAAAGTCCCGTCGTGTCCGAATTCCAGTTCTCTCCCATCTTCTAGTCAACGGGGGATTCATTATATATTACAAAACTAAGCATATAACGTAATCTATCACCTTCCCGGCCACTTTCCAGCCCCGCACCCCACCACGTCGACTTCGGACGCACCTCACAACGCAAAAGAGAGTCTATTCGGAATGCATTCTACATAATTCGAGTCCTTATTTACAAGGGCATTTTCTGGCGTTGTGCTCCATTGAGTGAGCCACAAACACTACACTTCGGCTGCGCACGCTTTCGTGCCTTTGGCGCAGTCGTGTCCGATGGCCCCACCTCTCCTTCGACCTCTCGACGAGCTTCCTGGCTTCTTTGGCCCTTCTGAAGAGCATTCTGGGAGGCCTCAATGTGTGTCATCCCTTCTCCAATCGTCATAGTCCCTCCTGCCTGAATGAAAGCTCGGCGTGCCCGCTTTCTTTTTTGTCGACCATTTTCAGCTCGAAGTCGCCAGTTCTCTTCCTGCACAAGAGCAGCGTTGTGCATTGCCATCTAAGTTCGACGATGTTTACTGGCGTTTTGAGAGGCAGACTTGGCGGTTGGGTAGGGGTAGGAGGGGGACTCGGTGTCCGTATCCTGGTTTGTAGCCGACAAAGAACCTGAGTTGGATCGAGAGGCACGAGCCCTGTAGCCCTAAAGCCACTTGCGATGTTTCTTGTGCTGAACGTCTTTTTCTGAGCTTCAAGAAACAGTTCGAGGAACCTTGGTTTGTGGATGTGATAAACCCCGAGTGCTATCATCTCTTTGACGAGGTCGCCGTACGTCCGCTTCAGCACAGCAAAACAGCTAGCGTCAAGGGGCTGGAGGCAGTGCGACGAGTGCGGAGGCATACACTCTGTAAGGATCCGATGTTCAGTACAGAATTTGTCGAATTCAGGCGTCGAATGACTTGCATGACCATCGAGGATAAGAAGCCGATATCGACCAACAGTCCGGTTTCGTGTCTGTGGCTCGAAGGCTTCTCGAAGCCACGCAAAGGTAAGCTCATCGGTTGTCCAGCCGTTATCGCCGACTCCAATCCGCCACGTCTTTGGCAGTGCTGAGATGTCGTACCATGACGAAATGTGGACTTTTCCTTCGAAGATAATCAATGGATCAAGTGCCCAACCAGTTGCGTTGATGCATTCAATGACTGTCGTCCACTCTCGGTTCCCTGGCTGAATAACAACCTGTCGGTTCCGTCAGTCAGACCGAGTAACCACTTTAGATGTACTTGCAACACCCATCTGGAAGCCGGTCTCGTCATAAGTTGTAGATATCCACGTCGAGGACTCCGTACTCGTTGATCTTCTTTTGCACCCGTGCAAACCACGCTGAAATCTTCTCTGGGTCTTTGCATAAGGCTCGCTGATAGCCATACTTTCTTGAATACTTCGTCTTCAAATGGGGATGCCGATCAAGAAGCCGATGAACCCAGTTCTCGCCAACAGTCATTGCAGGGACCGGAGTAGTTGCGATAGACGCGTCGAGCAACATCAAGTTTCCACGCTCGCGGAGAAGAAGATCGGCCATTTGTCGAATGTAGCTGATCGTTGGCGACATACCACGGTCGTCCAGTGACTCGATCCATTTAATCAAGGCTGCTTCTTCAGTTGGGTGTAGCTTTCGGTTCTTGACTTGTGCTTGTTGACGCGTAGCACCACCTTTGACGCGTTCTTGGAGAGTCGCCCTTGGTACATAAAATGCAGCCGCAGCTTTGCGAATGCTTTGGGTTTCGCCTGAACGTAAGGCCTCCAGTGCTAATTGGATCCGCTCTTCGTGCTGCAGAGGCTTTGGCATTTTGCCAGGTACGATGGCATGGTAAGGTGCATCCAAAGTGGACGTGGTGGGGTGCGGGGCTGGAAAGTGGCCGGAAAGGTGACGTGGCCGGAAAGGTGATAGATTACGTTAATAGATATGTAGTTATTTTTATATAATAGTACTACACTCTAGGCCTAAATGTATATTATATACTCCTAGCCTCCCTTAATTTCTATAAGTAAAACTATAAATGTTACATACATAACTTATTATTAATTATCTATCACTCTTACTATTATCATACCACTAGTATAAAACTACATAGTGTTCTTCTTATCATCTATTTATCTTCCGTAGTACTCTCATTATTCTCTCTTCTTCGTACCTACCCTCGTGTTTCTGGAGATTTTCTCGAACTCTTAACCCCATTACTTGGAACTACTAATGCCCTCTCATTCGCTGCCAGCTCAATCGGCAACCTTTGGTATTCGGCGTGCTCCCTGGCATTCACGAAACTGGGAGCTGTCTCACAAACTAGCCCTGGAGGATCTACTACCCCAAACAGGTTCTTCGGAATGGCTCGTCAGCAACTTGGAGTACATGGAGAACAAAGCTAGGCGATGTATAACGTACCCTAGACACCGCAGGTATCTTCCTTATCCATCCAATAGCCCTCGAGGAGTCTGCCCACGCAAGCACGATGTGTTCCTCGTCCGAGAGACTCATAAATGACATGGCGAATGACTCAGACTTGGTAGTCAGCTCTCTAGAGGATGCGATACGGCGGACGTCCATTGGGTTGGAGTTGAGGTTAGAAACCTGGAACACGTGGCCTTTGTCGTTAACCATCACTAGCTCTTTGCCCGATGGTGAGAAAGCAGCGCACTGTACGCGGTTTCCGAGCTTGCTGTGTCGGCCAGAAATATCCGTTCGAATTTCGCTTCTATATCCATCCTGCGGCTGGATCAACACAGGGGTGCCAGACTGAGTCCATGTGGTGATGCAGACTAAGTTCTCCTCGCCGTCAAGCCCGGGCCGAAATGATGCTGAGGACACACCGTTGTCTTCTGACTCATGAAGTGGGACTGAGTATCGGCACGTGGTGAGCTCTTGGAAGACGTGGAATGGAAAACGCCATGAGTACGTCTGTATTAAGCCGGTCTTGGGGTTTCGGGTGCTTGCGAGGAGTACCAAGCCATCATTGGAAAACGCCAGGGTGTCCACGGACGGGCAACTGCGGCAATCCTGATGGAGGGGCGTGTGCAGTCGGTCCTCCCGGGGCTGATCGACGCTCCTTGCGTTAAAGAAGCGAACGGTCGCGTTTTCAAATCCAACTACCACATAATTCTCTTGCCTATCAATCGCAATGCTCCTGCACCAAAGAGACGATGGTATTCGGTACTCGACTACAGGCTCTGTTGGCTGGGCTAGGCTCACGATCCGCAGCTACAGGGTGCATGTTAGTCCACCACACAAAGAGCAAGAAACTCGCGACAGGGAAGGCCGAGGAAAAATATAGGTATAAACACCGTACCGTGAGCCTCTGGTCCCTGGTACCAATGATGTAAGCCAGACGCATCCTTGCTACGGCTGCGAGGATGCAAGTGCTTTCCGGCAAGATCGCCCGCACCATGGTCGGCGGCGACGTGCCGACATCCCACACGTGTATTAGGAGCTGCGTCCAAAATAGAGCGAGTGCCGAGCTGTGGGAAAGATGAACATTGATGTTTTTCGAGTGCTTCCCTCTGATATGACCCTTCTGTGTGCTAAGCAAACCGGAGAGAGAGATCTCCTCTAGCTTCTGGGCCTCTAACGCCGTCGACGAGAGCGAACTCGAGTCTCCAGAGGTCCCCACCGGGGGGACTTTCTTTGACCCAGTGAATTTTAACTTCCACCTAGATTTTCCCTTCTCGACCGATGTGACCAAGGGAACTGTCCGAGGGGTGGTAATCGAAGGCGCTTCGTCTGCCCCCACCTGCCTGCGAAAGGCCGGTGAATCTCGGGAGAAGGGCGGTGGGTACGTCAAGAAACTGGCATCCAGGTGCGCGAAAGTATGGTTCGTCTCTTCAAAATCCTTTTTGCTTTGGTTCCCTGATACGTCGGGGCGCGATGGCTCACTCCGAAGATGCCTAGGCGGCTGATAGGTGATCGAGGACTCGGGAGACATGGGGCCTGGGTAGCCGGGGCTGCCTGGATCGCCTACGACCAGACTCGGTGGTCCAGGCTCTACAGGGCGGGGCGGGGCAGGTAGCTCAAGCTGGCGCGGCCTGTTGGCTGAGTCGTTTATCACGTTGTTGCCATAGCCGGGAGTGTATAGGCCACTTATTTCCAGTTGTTTTGGAGGCCCTAGTTGAAACTGCGTTGGCAAGTGCCGTTCCACATTAATGGTGTCGGCATCCGGCCGAAGGGATTCTACTAATTCCCAAGTTTGCCGCACCGCCGGCACCTCGCGGGCGAGCGTGGTGATCTCTCCACAGGTTACGCATCTTGTTTTTGATGGAAGGCAAATCTCAGCAGCGTTCATGGGGTCCGACTGGAAAAAGAAAGTGAATATGTACGTCAGCAACAAACGCGCATGTACTAGTGGTGTATAGGGCACGGGAAAAAAAGCGTACCGGGAGTTGAATGCCCAAGAATTTAAGTTGGGACGCTCCTGTAAGATGGCACCCAGGACAGTTCACGACGTAAAGCCCAGGCCGTGTGGGAGCGAAGGAACCGCCGGGGTCGTCTTGTAGCAGAATATTTCGGACGATCTGTGAGACATTATGCACCATTTCCCTGTCGCTGACGCGATGGATTATCTGGCGTTCCTTAAGCTTTGTACCCAGGCTGTCCAAGGCGTCCAATTCGCACTCATCTACGCGAAACCCAGAAACTTCGCGACGAGAAAGGTCAAGGGTATCGGGGAGAACGATGCGGAAGGGGGTGCTAAACTCTGCGACCATGTCCACCCTGGATAGGTGAGGGGGTGTGCGCAAGTTGTCGAGGGCGGTCAAAATCGCGTTCCGGGACCTAGCAGACGACGCCTGTAAGCGCACATCCCGCGTCCCTCCATTTGCCGCATATTGAATCGACGCAGCGATCACGAACTGCGACACGTCACGCAGAGCCAGGAATTGGGACAGCCAGTTTCCAAGCCCATTCGCGGGTGCCAGCTCGGAGACTGAAGCGGGTTGTAAACAAGGCGGGAGGGGATACTGGGCAGATGTTAGCTCAACGTCGTCATCGACCAGCCAAAGGTGGGAAATGGTGGGGGATATGAGGTTGATCCGTACCAGTTCCGATGTCAAGGTGGGAAGTTGCGACCGAAACCTCGGCGGCAGAGCGAGGGCGTCGGGGTCGATGTGAAGCTGGTTAGTCACCTCTTTGCACACCTCAAGCAGGAATGACTTGGGGCCCGGGTAGCTGTCAAAAACTTGCTCCAAGGTTCCGTGGATACGCGCGAAACGTTCACGTCGATCCCTTGTGCGCTTATTCGCCGGGGCTTTTGGGTGAAGGGCTAGGACGCGGAGGGCGGAGAGAAGAAACTCGGCCAGGTGCCTGTCGCGGAGTTGCCGATGTTCCCAGAGACACTCGCGACCCTCGGCTACGATCTGGAGAACGAGCTCGACGGACCGTAGCCCGATCTCCCAACTAACGAGAAAGCCGAGGTACCATCCAATATGGGTGGTGTCTGGTGGGATAGTTAAGCGCTGGAGGTCAAAGATGGCCTTGAGCTGGGCGAGCAAGCCGATAACCAGGTGCTGGTAGGCGTCCCGGTCGCCGGCACCTGCGTATATCTTCTCGAGCGAGAAGCGGCCGAGCAGTTCCAGTACGATATCATCAACATCGCTCCGGAGGGCAAGGAGTCGCCAGGTGTTGACTAGGCGTAAGAACAACGAGGATGGTGCCGCCGCGGCCATGGTGTGCGGCATCATTCGGGGCGGCGCCCCCGCGATCTCGCCGTCCAGTGGTAAGAGATACCTGTTGGCAGTGCCGTCTCGCTGGTGGTGCGGGGGTGCGGGGCGCCGCCAGGGAGAAGCCCACGGGCTCGGCGTCCGCCAGCCTCTCGCGTCCCCTTCTTAACTTTTTTTGAGGGGATATCTGGCTCTCTCCGTAGAGTTGGGATTCCATACGGTGGCGCGTGCCGATTCTTGGTGGGGCGACGAGGTTCGTCGAGCTACCAGGGGACAATAGCGGTAGAACCGTATAGGCACGATGACAAAGGGGCGTTCAGTGAGCAGGGACCTGAACTGCCGGAATGTGTTTTGTTGTGGGAATGTGGTCGTGTGCGTGCTTGGAGGCGGCCAATCTACGGTAGGCCACCGGGTCGTGCAGCTTGCACCCCTCGGAACTCCCACCTCTCCATCCCTCTCAACTACCCTTTTCGCTTGTTTATCGGGACTGGTATTAGAGCCAGTGACATGGCCTAACCCGTCGTCTGGGAAAATTGCTCCGCCGTCTCTCAGCCGCTCCGGTTTGGTCACTGGCCGAGGTGGCTGAATTGCTGCCTTGGCTCGCGGTGTGCAACAAGACACCATGCGCGACGATACCGCTTCTAGACGCAAGTACTTCGTACACACTGGCTTTTGATGTTCCGATCAGTGGCTGGGCCCTGCGGGTCCTGGGAAGCCAATGCCTCCCAGCGCCGCGTGGTTGCGTGCAGGTGCGGTAGCATTATGGGTTGCAGATGGCCGGCGCCAATGGTCGACAGACATTGTCGGGTATCTCGAAGCCTTGAACCAAGCTTTTGCTCATAATCACGTTACACCAAGTGGTGAGGTTGGGCAACGAGCCCGAGCTTGCAAGGAACATTTATCGAACAGGAAAGACCGCAGGGTCACATTTTGTGTGGGACGGCCTGGCAACAACCAATAATTATGTTGTTCCACTTTGCGCAGCTTTCCCGTTTTCTTGGTGTTTGGCAAGCGAGGAGCATCTTGGCTATTTACGCAATATCTCGAGATGAAGGGGGACGCACATGCGCATCGGTTACCACACATGGTCGGCCTTGTCCCCGCCAGCTTAACTGTGTCCTGCCTCGGGCTTGAGTGGAAAAGGTTGGCTCAACCCTCTGCTGCGCCAGTGCGTTGATATCTGGGTCGGCGGCGACTAAATGTACATGCGTGTACCTGATGGTGCCAAGGTAGATTGGTAGGTGCCTTAGGTACCTACCTCTAAGTTATAGACCCATCTAAGGAGGGTGCCTGCGTATGTACAGATGTCCCTACCAAAAGTCTTTGCTCACCGCCCATTAAACTGTTAGTGGTTATGGGCCTTTTTCTGGCCCAAGCAGAACTAGTAAGATTTGGAAAGCGGTCAGCAAAGACTTTTGGTAGGGGCTTCCGTACTGTATCGTTTCCCAGCAGTAGGACAAGCGGTCGCCTTGCTTGCACCCCCTTGTACGCAAACTATGAGCACTCGCCCCATCAATCCACCCACTGCCAGCGTTTCGTCTACCAAGAAACCCAACTTCGGTTGCTCTTCGCCTGAGAGAAGTACGAGTGTGGTAAGAATGGGCCATCGTTCAGCCGACCCATCCCTCCTCTAGTAACACACAAGCACAGGTCGACGCATGAGCAACCAGCCAAGGAGGGTGGCAGCAGTGGCAGCAGTGGCTGCGGGCAGGATACCAAGGGCGGGGAACCGAGCTGAATACGGCAATCAATCACGTCCCGTGTGGCTGGCAAACTGTGCAGGGGGACCTCGGCGTCTGATTAGCTATTATTTTTATTTGTACACGATCATGACGCACCGCAGCTAGATTGAGGGTGAGACAGTCCTGCGGGCTAGTCTAAATACAGTGCTAGAATAATATATCTGCTCCAATATACATAATATCTGCACCTGACGGCCGCCGCTCAACCCGGGCTTGCCCTACGCCCCACTGCTGGTAGAACCAACTCTTGACCGCGTTCAAGGCGGATGTCCTTTCCAGCACTAAGATTCTGCCTAACGATACTGCCAATAGTACCCAAACTCTCGTCGTCGCACATGGACTTATGAAAAACCATGAGGCCCATAACCCCATCAAGTATATCACCATGTAGGCCATCAAAGCCCACAGCCCGACGGCGAGACCACGCTCCACGGCTTTGACGAGCCTATGGTTCCCGAGGATAAGCGCGAGTTCCGTAGCGACAGTCTTTGGTATGGTCCTTACATGAAATGAGCTACTACATGTCGACAACAAATGTTTACTGACTTGTGCATGATCACACGCGGATAGGCGGGTACTTCATGAGCGGCATATCAACGTAAGGGCAACAGCCATTCCCCAACATTAAGGCGAGTCCACTAACGCGGTGTTCCGCTTATCCTAGATGATCGCCTTCTCAGGGTAAGTCCTCCCGGGCCTAAATACACGGAGT